TTATAGAATTGATCGCTCTACTATAGGGTTTTGAGGGTTAGAGCTCACAATAGGAATATTGGGGTTTTAATCTTGACAATGGTAGAATAATAATCTGTGTAAGATCTAGACATAGGCTTACACAGATTGCAGACTTTGTAATTCATTTGCTTAATGCTTAATTCAAGAGGAATTACTAGGATTCTAATTGGGTTAAAAGGTTGAAAATACTAAGACATTAGGGTTCAACAATATTATAGGGACATAATGAATTGTCTGAGCTAATAAATTAGTTAGTTATTAAATTCAATTTAGGAATATAAAGGAGGATCGGAGGTGAAGTGCGTCCTCACTGCAATTCTTTTATAATTTTAATCACTCATATTCTCTTGACGTTTTTGATATTTCTTGAATGCTTTCGATTATTATTGTCTTTAAATTTCTGTTTTTAAATTACAGCAAACAATTATTTTCTTAATTAAACCGAGTTTTTCCAAATTAAGGTGGAGAGTTAAATTAGTAGTTGGTACATTAATCTTCGAGGGAACGATCTTTATTCATCACTTTTATTACTTGAAACGAACGGTATACTTGCCGTAATCGCAACACGAGACATTGTTAAAATTGATTTGGAATGCATATTGATCTCAGATAGCAATGAACATTACCAGATAATGAGTTAGTAAAGGGTTACCAGAATAACAAGAATTAATTACTCGAGTAATTACTTTAAGGGTGTGCATGACAACCTTCCCAGAATTAGTATTTTTTTAAAAAAATTTGTTCCCGAGAACATAAATGGATAGAAAACTCGTTTGGTAAAACCGATTTTTTTTTGTTCTCGGGATAAACCAGTTTAATTTTTGTGCTGGGGAATAGAAAAAAGAACAAAAAAATTTCTACTTTTTGTTCCCACGCCTAAAATGAGAAACACTTGTCTCTCTCAATCACTCTCCACCACTACCATCATTGTAACATCTTGATCGATGACGAGGGCGGGGAGTGATCATCGGTGCGAAAGAGCATTGTGCGAAAGGGCACAAACAAGGAGCGGCTCCTGGCACGCTTCAAGCGAGGGTATATGAATAAATCGAATCGATACCCAAATAGAGAGATTCCAAAGATTGTGCAAGTATGAGACTGCACAGTTAGGGATAGCTTATAAGAATTAATTTGTACTACCTATACTAACAAGATGCATCTATTTTTCGGTAGCCCATAACGGAAGAACTCCATAGTTAAGCGTGCTTGACTTGTAGTAATTCTAGGATAGGTGACCTCTTGGAAAGTTTTTCCAGGAAGTGTGTGAGTGATGATAAAAGCACATTGAAAAATCTTATGTTAATGTGTGGGAATAGTCATTGATTCTTGAAGCGGTCAGGCGTTACAATCATCACCACCATCATCCCGACACGACTACCGCCACCATCATCGCTGCTATCGTCGTACCACCAGTGTTGTCGTCACCGCCGCCGCCACCGCGATGCCACTGCCACCACCATCACCACCTGCATCCATTGCCACCATCACTACTGTAACACCCTGATTTATCAACCAGAATGCTACACATTACAGTACAAATGTGCACTTAATTTAATAAGAATAGCATAAGACTTATAGAGTATGATTGCTCTCTTGAAACTACGTAACTAATTAAAAAAATTTCCTTTATTTTAACCACGTGATAATAAACTATACTGTCACATAACTGTATAGAATCTAAACTTAGCACAAACGCTTCATCCAAATTATATCAACTATCGTTCAAATAAAAATGGACAACATACCCTTTATTTATCAGACTATCCAAATCCTTAAACATGTAATCCAACAAATAATGAATACATAATAAATCCTTATTTACATCTTCAGAATCTATCCATAGATTCCTACTCACTTTCAGTAAACTGAAACATACAATTTACTTTATTGTACGTAACATAACCAAATATTAAATTGTGCAACCTCATATCAGAAATGAATTCCAATTATATATGTACAAATGTAACAACTACATCTATGACTTAAAATACATATTATATCTGAAATCCATACATACACGCGCAATCCCAAAACAATAATCTGTCCAGCAGATCCTGTTGTATCTACTAACCATCCTTTAATGTTGTCTGTTTCTTGAAGAATCACTCTCTTAAACAGAACCTGAAATGTGTCCCCATAACGCGGGGTGAGATTTAAAATCCCAGTAAACTCTAAGTTTATAGAATAGTCTCTCATTCTTAAGCTCACTTCCTACATAATTGGTCAGCACACGCAGAATAGCGGAATATACAGATTACGCATACAAATTTTCAGACTCAACATACAACACATGGTGGTATACAAAATTCCTTACCGTTAAATCTAGTTCAATTATATCCTAGGGTTAATTACATGTAATCATCACAATTTGACAATCAACTTCACGTATTTAAATTACTAAACACAACGGTAAATATTAAACATATAGACACACAACCACTTTCAAACAACTTTATCTAACATAGTAAACCATTCACAGTTTACCAATATCCTTACAGAATTTACCATATAATCCAATGCTACAGTTCTTACGCAAGTTTCCACCTTTCTCCCGGAGTAATATCTCTAAGCATCATAGCATTGTCAGACATTACCATATTAATTTATCATATCCTTCTTTCAAAACAAATACTAACAATTTCATTGATTATCGGAATACCAACAGAACTCACAAAACACAATCAAACCAAACAGATAACAACAATTAACATATAGGACAAACCATCACACAAAACTATTCAACAACCAAGCAAACACATTTAACAATACAAATGCATTAAACAATACAATATAAACATGCACCTATACTCATATATATATATAAACACACACATCTTTATATCACAAGTAGTTGGAACCACCCGATGACCGGATACGTTCACAGTAATAACTAATCATATTCTAAGAGAGTCATCTATTAATCAGATGCACTCAACTTGTACGACCAAATTATTCATTGGCTTCATACTGGAATTCACCCATGTATATATATATATATATATATATATATATATATATATATATATATATATATATATATATATATATATATATATATATATCTCACCACCTTATTGAATTATATACTTTTAATTCAGCACACTTACAAATCATCCATTTTTCTAAGGATTACATGTACAAATTGTCATAGATATATAGTATTCAATACTTTTCTCTTTACGAGATACAACTGATTCACCATCACATCGTTATTCACCATCAATTTATCAGAACATCAAAGTATCTGAACCTCACACATAAACTTTACTAGACATATAAATTCACTAGAATTTCATACTCAAAGTACATTTCCAAATTTATCATACATACCAATTTCACATTATTATCAGACATATCAACGTTAAACTCATTATTTAAATTATATATCAGCATACCTCACGCACCTAATGTGAAAATGGATCCTAATTAGACTGGATTATATTTATCTATCATGGGAAATGGATCTTTCATGTCACATGACCTAATGTGAAACAATCTCAGCTATCTATTGATAGATCAATGGTGACGAGACACTAAAGATAACAAACGAATGCACTTAGCTTCTCCGTAGCGGAGCAAAAAAAAATTGTGAGAAGGGAGAGATTTCAAAATTCACACTGACTTAAGTTGGAACAAGTTCTATAAGTAGCTATTTTCCAAATTTGAACTAATGACCTTTCAATCAAAAGAGAGTATTTTTATCGTTCTCTGAATTCATCCTCATGATTAAAACATTAATATATAACTCTGTCTATGTGTGCTTGCATGCATAGCCTGTCTCAAGCCAGGATAAAGGAAGAGGGTTGACGTCAGGTGTGACAAATCGGACATAAAAATCAGCTATATTTATGAGATAAACTCTTATGATTAAAACATTAATATATGAAATATTATTCCTCATCCTATGAATTTATGAAATATACAGTATAAAAAGGACATTTACTTCATTAAATTAACCAGTATTAACCCCAAATAAAACAAACTCAAATAACAAAAAAGAAATAAAAAAGGATTTTGTAGTTGTTCTTTTAAGATCGCTTTCCGATAAAATACAAAGAAAACCGCAATTAAGAATAAAGGAGCATGTATACAGAGTCTTTGACCCTGCTCATCTCCCTATAATATGCCTTTATTTAAGGCTTCTAAGCTTATCTTCCTACATTTACTCTATTTGAAGTTTGAATAGTAACTAAGAAATCTGAAAAGGGTGTGTTGATTGGCATCTAAACCTCAACTTATATTTTATCTTAATATACAAAAAAGTTATCAAGATTATGAGTTGGGTTGCTGCTCCTCCGACTGAAAGATTACAAATTCAAATCTAATCTAGAAAACAGTCTCGAGTAAAGCTACTTACAAAGACCGATAAAAAGATTATGAATTCAAATCTTTAACGAGAAGTAATTTTTTCATATGAAAAACTAATACCTTCAATTTAGCTCATATAATGCCATTTAGAGGAATCAATAATTATTCGTATATAGAAAGAAAAAAAAAAGTGCAAAAGGCATCTAAAGGATAGGGCACGCAGAAGTCTTGACATTCTTTCAGGGCGTCCTAAAATTTCACATCACACAAAGCAGATGATAGAACAATGGAAGAAAAATGGGTAAAACAACAAAGATCAGGGTTTTGAAGGTTGCAAATGAAAATCCTGTAAGACTCAAGTAACAATCTCTTCCTCCTGTAAATCCCTTCTATGTAAAACAATGGAACCAAATAAATGGAGAGCCACACAAAAAGGGTAAAATCAGCAGATTTCATTTATACTTACAACAGATTCTAGCTTTCTATAAACAAAAACAATTGGCAGTTGCTACATATGAATCAAAACACAAGTGAGCAAAACTGTGACAGTAACAGAACCCAATGGAAATGGTAACAAAGTATTGAAGTCATCAGCAAAAGTGAGGTTGAAGATGGAGGAACAGAAGTTTATATGCAAAATACGTATCAACCAATTGCACGTGACTGAATACTAGATCAGCAGAAAAAATCACATGAAACTCTGTGTATAACCTCAAGACTCAACCTTTCCATTCAGTCCATGATTTCCTTAGACCTCTAAGGTCTCATTAAGTGACTTATATACAGCAAGCAAAATGTGAAAGAACCCTTCTCCGATTTCAGATAGGAAGATCAATGTCACCAGATTTGTCAACTAAAACCCCTCACATTTTACTTTTTATCATTGTCAAAGGGCTGCATTCAAGTCTTATAGTAAAGATCCTCTTCTCATGCTTCGTTGATAACATTGTCTTTCAAAGAGAAGTCATCAAGGATATCACTATCTGTGTCACCCTGAAGCTCTTTAAACATTGCCATCACTTGTATCATGGTTGGCCGTCGGTATGGTCTCTCATCCAGACATTCAAAAGCAATTCTCAAACACTGATATAGTTCACTTTCACTAGATCTTTGCATAATCAAGTCAGGATCAAGTATTTCATTAACTCTTTTCTCTCTGTGAAGCTTCTTACACCATCCGACAAGATTGTTGTCATCACCAAACTCGGATGAGTCAATTGGCCTCTTCCCTGACAGAAGCTCTAGCAGTATGACACCGTAACTATAGACATCCCCTTTTGTTGTGCATCTAAAACTCTGGTAGTATTCAGGGGGTACATAACCTGGTGTTCCCGCAAGTGTGCTGACTGTGAGATGAGTGTCAAGGGCATTAACCAACCTTGCCATGCCAAAATCTGAAACTCTGGCCTCAAAATTTTCATCAAGAAGAATATTGCTGGACTTCATGTCCCGATGTATAATGTGAGGTATGCAACTATGGTGAAGAAATGCAAGACCTCTTGCTGAACCTATGGCGATCTTCTTTCTAGCGGCCCAGTCAAGCTTCGAACCTCCTCCTTTGGCTCTGTCATGTAGAACAGCCTCCAGACTTCCCCATTTCATGTACTCATAAACAAGAAGCCTCTCCTCTCCAATTTTGCAGTAACCAAGCAGTTGAACCAGGTTTCGATGTTTAATCTTCCCAATGGTTTCCATTTCAGCCATGAACTCTCTATCTCCCTGACCTGTGACATGAATAAGCTTCTTGATAGCAACAACACAGCCATCTTTTAGCTTAGCTTTGTAGACTTCACCAAACCCTCCAGACCCTATCAAGCTTTCAGCACTGAAACCGTTAGTAGCCTCGAGAAGATGGGCAAATGTCAACTTGCGCAGAGGTTTCTCAAAGGTTGCAACATTGATGCTTAGAGGCTCAGGAAAGCTGGAAAGTTTCCAACTGCTGCTACCTGAAGTTGGAAGACTTTCTATGTATTTTTCTCTCAGCTCCTCCTTCATTTGGTGCTTCTTCAATTGATATAAAGCTAACACAAGCCCAAGAATAAACAAGATGAAGAAAACAAGGCCAATGACAATCTCTTCTGCAACAGGTTGCTTCTTTTTCCGAGTATGTAACCCTGCTGAGTGCTTCAAGGAGCTACATGGTGATAATGGGACCCCACAAAGGTCAGAGTTGTTTTCATATCTAGATGCAGGGAAAGTGGTTAACTGACCTCCAGAAGGAATGGAGCCTGTAAGGTTATTATTAGACACATCAAGGTCACTGAGAAAAGATAGACCTTCTAATGACCCAGGGATGAACCCTTGAAGGTTATTATGGGAGAGATCTAGCACCCCTATGGCTTTTAGACCACCAAAGCTGTCTGGAATGTTTCCAGTTAGCCTATTGTGTCCCAGATTTAAGACCTGTAAATAGGCCATTGCACCAAAGTTTCCAGGAATACTTCCTGACAATGAATTGTAGGAGAGATCAAGGTAAATCATGCTGCCATTGGAAGGGAAGGTATAAACAGTCCAACCAGAGTATATTCTTGTTAAAGGGCATGAATGGACCATAGGAAAACCTTCAAGCCTCTCAGCCCTGATATCCTCGAATTCAACTAACCCTCCAGCTCCCCTACAACTTGTCCCACCTTCATTTCTCACAAATGCAAACTGCTTCCCTGAAGCACTTCCTGGAATAACCAATCCAGCTTGATCGGCAAGCTCAGATGGGATAGTACCAGAGAGGTTGTTGCTAGTGAAATCTAACCATATGAGCCTCTTACACTTCCCAATCTCTGGGGGGATCTGTCCAGTTAGTGAATTGTTACCCAATTGAAGGATAGCTAGATTGTTTAGATTCCCAATACCAGAAGGTATCTCCCCAGTAATGTGGTTGCTGGCCAGTGACACCCACATCATATTGGTGCAATTGGCAATTGACTGAGGAATGGAGCCTGAAATGAGATTATTGTTAAGAATCATGGTCTCTAGGTTCCCTCCATTGACGCAGATCCCTTCTGGAATCTCACCAGTGAGGTTGTTTGCCCACATAATCAAGTCAGAAAGATTGGGCAAGGACCAAATCTCTGAGGGTATTGGGCCTTTCAAATTATTAAAGCTAAAATCAATTGTCCTCAACTTCGTGCACCCACCAAGCTCTGCAGGCACCACCCCTGAAAGGTAATTGTCAGCAAGGAGCATCTTTTCCAACCCTGAGGGACAAAACCCAGAAGGGATATTGCCGGTGAAGGCATTGGAACTCAGGTCAAGAACCAGAAGCTGTGTACAATTGGCAAGAGACAAAGGAACAGGTCCAGTTATATTATTGAATGGCACAAAGAGAGATCTAAGACTAGAAATCCTGCTCACAACTGAGTCAAGGAAGTTCCCAGAGAGATAATTCTTAGCAAGGTTGAGACTTTGCAAAGAACCACACTTCCCAAAGGTGAAAGGCAACTCACCATAAAGCTTATTCTCAGATAAATCAAGCACAATAAGAGACCCACAAGCCATTCCAAGCTCACCAGGTATTTCTCCATAAAACTGATTATGCCCCAAAAACAGTTCCCTCAAACTCTTGAGACCACCAAGAAGAGCCCCAGGAATCTTCATCTTCAGTTCATTGTAAGAAAGATCTAATCTCTCCATAACCTCACAGTTCCTCAAGCTGGGTGGAAACTCCCCACCCAAAAGCGCATTGTGAGAGAAACTCAAAGAAACAAGACTCTTACAGTGCCCAAAATCAAACTCAGAAAACCCAACAGAAAAATTGTTGCCAGACAGATCCAAAACCTGAACAGCATCACCCAACAAAAGACTAGGTATCTTCCCAGACAACAAATTATGAGACAGGTCGAAGGTAGTTAGGTTTGTGCAAGGAACCAGAGTTTCACTCCCACCGAGTTGACCCGCGAGTCGGTTATCAGAGAAATTAAGCAGAACCAAACCCTGACAGTTACCAACAACATAGGACAAAAACTTAAGGTCAGAAAACCGGTTCAGAGACAAATCAAGTTGGAGCAATGAAGAAGCGAAACCGAACCCAACGGCTTCAGTTATGAGATTCCGAGACAAGTTAAGATAACCGAGGCTGTTACACGGAAGAAGGTTCGAGAAGGGGAACTTGCCGGAAAAGTTGTTAGCTGAAAGGTCGAGTGTTCGAAGCATGCAAGAGGGTGAAACAGAAAAGTTGAAAGCTGTGAAGGAATTACCATGCAATAAGAGGTGTTTCAAAGAGGGTATTGATGTGAGAGTTGGAAGGTGGAGGGTTCCGGTGAGGGATGCTCCGGTGAGGTTGAGAGCGGTGACGTGGCCGTCGCCGTCGCCGGAGGAGGAGCAAGTTACGGCGCGCCAGGTGCAAGGAGAGGACGAGTTTGAGGTCCAGTCAGTTAGGAAGTTGTTTGGATCAGAGGAAACATGTAACTGCTTGAAACTCATCAAGAAGGAAACATCTTCATTAGCAGCATAAGCATAAACACAACATGTTGAGGTTGTTGTTGTTGTTGTTATTATCATCAATAAGGCAAGCATAACAAACCCCACTAGTGTTGTTGGTGGTGTTGGTGTTGGTGGTGCTCTTCCTCTTCCTCGTGACCATGACATCTTCGTGTGATTTGGTTTCTCTCTTTTCATTTCACCTTTTTTCTCATGAAAATTAATGATTAGCTTAGTTCACAGGCATTAATCAAAATCTACCACTCGTGTTTGGTTCTTTGTCTTGTGTGTATGTTTGTCGTGTCCAAAATTGAAAGAAACTTTCATTTTGATTTTTTTTTTTTTTTTTTTTTTTTTAGAAACCCCAAAAATAGTATGTATAGGGTGTATTTTCTTTAAAAAAAATTGATTTATAAATTAATTGGTTAATGAAAAATGTGACTATCATGTTACATGACATATCTTGTGTCATGCTATAGACACAAAAAGGTAAGACTCACACATTTATTATTATTTTTCATTGAAACCCACATTTTTTTTGTATCTGTGGCATGACACAAGATATGTAATGTAACATGACAATCACATTTTCCTTGACTAATTGAGTCTAGTCAAGTTATTATGTTTGCAAAAAGAAAAAGTTTTTATGCTTTTAAATTACATAACTTATCTCATTTCACTCTCACAAGTAGGTGAGACTCACACATTTTGTTGTCAACTCTCTCTCCTATCATCTATCTCTTTCTCTCACTTAAAATGATACAATTTACATTCTTTAAAATGACACACACTTTTTCTTTACAAAAATGATAAAACTATCTCTACCATATTTCTAAGGGAAAAATGTTTCTCTTGTGGTGAATTGTATCTAGCAATTTCAAAATGATTTTGTTTTGGGATTTAACAAGAAAAAAAAAGTAGAGTATTTTAATAAAATATCCTATATTTTACTAGGGTTTATTAAAATATAGAATATTTTTTCTCAAACCCTAAAATAATATTATTTTGGAATTGTATAAAATAATTTTTTTTCTTATTATAAGAGAAACATTAATCCCTATTTTTAATACAATCGTATACTCAAAACTTGAATTCAAAATTATTGATTAAATTGAAATCTATATCTCTTTGATGCATGTAGTCGCGGGTAAGGTGTGGTTTTTTTTTTTTTGGATATTATTTATCATATGGGCAACAAATTTCTTTCTATTAAATTTTAACAGAATTATGTTCCTATGTAATTAAATTTGAGACTATTAATTAAATTAAAATAATTTTTTATCAGTTAATTCACATATTTGATGATATCCACGGATATGATTTAATTTGTTATTTGATTTCCTTGTCCTGATTTTGCGATCTGTGGTGGCTGTATATGTTACCTAACCCTCAGCTGCTAGCTTTGATTTTCGGTGTCTCTTTTCGCACATTACTGACTGACTTACTAGGGAAGCTGAAATTACGTGAGGGAAAGGAATCATCATAATTTTATAATGAAATAAATTAACATTGGCCCCTCTTTTTTTTAAAAAAGTGGTCCAAGTAGCTTTCGGAGTTTCAAACACGTAATTATCACCCAAATTTTGGGTTTTGAAAATGTGCAAACGGGGAACCGTGTGTCAAGATTAGAGGAAAGAGAAACACGAGAAATTCAAAAAAGCTTATGTAAGCTAGTGCCTAGTGACTAGTGAATAAAATAGTGCCAAGTGGTTCTTTCTTTTTTAATTTTGATTCTCTAAAAGATAAATGTACATTATATTCAATTTCTTAACAATTTATGTCATTAATATTAGCCTTCAAGTTTTAATAATTATTTTATGTTTATAAATAGATAATTGACATAGTATTATGTACAGAAAAAATAGTATTTCTAGAGAAATAATTAGGGGGATCTGGATTTTTTTATGAAAAAAAATATGACATGATCATATGAAAAATCATAATCATACAAAGATAGATCAATGGTGATAAAAAAAAGAAAAAATATATTCAAATATGTAATTACAAAATCATAACCGTTAATTTAACTTTGTATATTTATGATCTTCGTACATGATCATGTCATTATTTTTTTAACATGAGAATATTCATTTCCGTAATAAGTAATAACATTAACATTTAAACATGGAAAATTATCCAATTCCCTCACTATTAACCTACTTCTAATGACTTAATTATCTAAAATTTATGTGACTTAACATAAAGTAAAAATCAATATGAAAACACTTATTGATGGGAATGGTTGTTCTAATATTAAAATGTTACCTGTAGAAGTTTTGTATTTATTTTTCTATTCATAAAATTCCATCTATTTAATGTTTATTAAAGTTATTTTCTTGGATAAATTAATATAATAGAAAATAATTTCATTTCCTATACAATATAAAAGTATATGTGGCTCATATTTTTTTTTATATAGTTCATATGAATTACATATACTTTTATATATGTTGAATAAAATTATCTATTATAATATTAGAAATATTAAAAAAAAATTATTTATTATACGTTTGGAATGAAGACACACACCTTACGCTGCAGACAGAGTGTAGTAGAAAGTACAAGCAACATATATATTTTCAAAAAAAAAAAAAAAAAAAGGTACAAGTAACAAACAATCTCGCTTATCTACACAAGGGTGTCTGAAAATACCTTTTGGAATTTGACAGTGTCTGGTTGCAGGTACGAAGTTCAGATTGTCTAATGACACTGTTATAAATAAAAACAATTGCTAGATTTTGTTTTGTGGGGGATCTTTCTTTCATACAAGACAAAGGATATAAAATAGTTCAATATCATGTGCATGTGACAGACACTTCAACGGTGGGGTAAAGATAACAGTTGAATTGCTTGCTTGCCGTGTTTTGGCAACAATTGTAACTTACAATTTGAAGTCAATCTGCAATAAGTCTTTTTGATATGATATATACTATACACGGTTGATTGGAAAGGAAGATGCCCAGATCAGAGTTTCAGTTGCAGGGGAAAAGAACATACACACCAATCATTCATCTTTCTTTCTTGAGGATGAATTGTTTTACTTTAAGATTGAATTTTCGCCGTTTCGATTTTTTTTTTTTTATCTTAATATTATTGGAATCCAACAATCACGAACACTATGGCAAAAAATAAAAAAGAAAGAAAGAATAACGAAAGAACGGGGAATATCGATAAAGTGTTATTTTTTGATAAAATTTTTATTTAAATGTCACATAAATAGTACTTTTTATTAGACTGTCACATGTAGAAATTTGCTATGACTGATCTCATGACATGTAGCCATATTACGTACTAAATTTGCTACCACTTGAACTTAATCCAGTCAGTTTTTTTCTGCAAAAGCGTGTCACGTGTCACAAAATCATTGGTAAACAAAGTTTTACTACCGTTCATAACGAATTACGTCGCGTGTCAGTCTGATAAAAAATAATGTTCACATGATATTTAAATAAAAAAATTTGTCAAAAAATAGCATTTGGATTGATATTCCGATATATTTTATATGTGGGTTATATTCAGTAATATTTTATTATATTTTCATTATGATACTTGATACAAAACACTCTATTTATAGGAAAATATAAAAATTTAAAAACTCTAAACAACAATGGTATTTATATATCTAAACTTAAATTACTAAGAAAAAAAAAACTCAAAGCTTATAAGAGTATGGGGCCTCCACAGTCCAAAAAGCACTATCCCCTATTGATTTTCTCTGTGTCTGTCCAATAAAAATTGTCATCTAAGTATGAGTAATAGTCAATAAATCCATTCTGTGTATAACAACTAATCCGTATTAGGTTGACTGAAAAATTTTCACATAACCTCTTGCCACGTGTAAGGATTCATTCCCATCTTTCACTTAGTAACTTGTTTTAAGAATGTTAATTCATGATATGGTATTAAAATGCTATGACCCAATGATCTATAATATTTTTTAAAAAGATTAGTTCATCACAAAATTTGAATGAAGAGATACAAATGAAATACTTGGCAAATTAAAAGTTAAAAAAAAAAAAAAAGTTGTTGAAGAAGCGAGGGAGGACAGGTTACGGGGAATAAGGGAAAGTGGTGATTCCACTTCTCAATATTTTTCTTACTTTTTTTTTTTCTCATTTATCTAGGTTCAGTCAAACTTTGGTTTTGGATTTATCTTCCACATGATATAGGTAGCTGCCCCCTCCTAATCATTATTTAATTTCAAATTAGATTTTCAATTAAAAAAAGAACACGTTTAGGATATTGCAACTTATAGTTGTTTGATTAGTGCAGAATTATCTAGCAATACTTATAGTTGTTTGACTAATATTTTTAAAACCAATTCTTACTATGGGAATAAATTTTAATAAGTGTCATAACCAAAAAATATATATTTATTTCATGCATTAGGATTTTTAAATAATAATAAATTAAAAAAATAATATTTCTAAAACGACAAATATTTGAAAATGAATAGAGTATTATTTTTATAAATAGAATGTTTAGAAGAAATAATACTTTTTGAATTGAAAATAGAGCATAGAATAGAGTATAGAGTAATTAAGCAAACTTTAAAAATGAAAACCTCATCATAGAGTCACGACATAACCAAAAGCAAGAAATGTGCTATATTCATTCCAACACTTGTCAAATTTGTAGATTATCTTAGAAGCCATATCTCTAATCACATAATGTTAACTCAACATATTGTTTTTCAATAGAAGCTCTATCTTCCATATTTGCATGAAATATAAATTGGATATAGTATACTTGGAATCAAACAATCATATTGGTAATTTCAGAAAAAGGTTAAAAACATCTTTCCAAATCTTCCTGTGATGGTCAATGCTTATAATGTTGCCTTTTTGACACTTTTGATATAGAATGCAAGACATATTACCCGTTTAATTTGTTCACAAATTATTTATCAATCTAATGTTTGTGAAACTCGCATAAATAATTTGCATATTTAAGTTGCACTTCACTTCATACGTGATTTGTGCAAAAGCCAAAATGTGTTTGTCATGTATCGCACTTTGCAAGACGCATATGAGGTTCGTGCGTGACTTAAATGCGCACTGCCAGGATCCACATTTGCATTGTGCTAACTTTTGCACGAGTCGTGCATGAAAATGATACGCAACTCAAACGTTCATACTCTTGATATGCATTTCACTCACATTAAATTTATAAATAGTTTATGCATTTCAC